CCTCGTGCTCGTCCCTCGTCTCCTGTTCCCTTCACTGACCTTCGTACTGCCTTACTTCGTTCTAGTCCACCTCGTCCGTCTCCGTCTGTGCTTCCGTCTCCTCCTGAGTCGGCTCTCACTGCGTCGCTCCCTACTCCTGTCACTGACTACTACCGCACGTACCGTCCTGTTCTCTCTCGTGTTCTCGCCTCGCTTGTTACTCACCCTCGTGCCTCTGTGTCCTCTGTGTCCGCTCTTACTGCCGCAGTCACTAAGTTTGCCTCTACTCGCCGCCTTGACTTCGCCACCGGTCTTGTGGCTGCTCCTCCTTCCAGTCCTCTGGCCGTCGGGGGTGTGTCTGCCCTTGGCTGTGACGCCCTAGAGGACAGGCAGTTTGAGCTAGAGTTCCTGGCAGCCGCTTCCCCTCATCTCTGTGCCATGCTCCTCGCCCCTGAGGGTGACCCAGACGCCCTTGACATTCCGACTCCTCGCACTTACGCTGAGGCAATGTCAGGGCCTTGGGCCTCTCAGTGGAGAGCTGCCATGGACGCAGAGATGGCCTCCTACAGATCCACAGGCACCTACGTCGATGAGGTTCCCCCTCCTGGGGCGAACGTAGTCGACGGCATGTGGATCTACAGGGTGAAGCGGCCACCGGGATCTCCCCCGGTCTTCAAGGCGCGTTACGTGGCTAGAGGTTTCAGTCAGTGCGAGGGAGTTGACTTCTTTCAGACCTTTGCGCCTACCCCGAAGATGACCACTCTTCGAGTGTTACTACACGTAGCAGCACGGAGAGAATATGAGTTACACTCTCTCGACTTCTCCACTGCTTTCCTTCAGGGCAGTCTTCACGAGGAGGTCTGGCTGCGTCGTCCCTCTGCCTTCACTGGCACCTTCCCTCCTGGGACCCAGTGGAGGCTGAGGCGACCTGTCTACGGTCTTCGCCAGGCCCCTCGTGAGTGGCACGACACTCTGCGTTCTACCCTCTCTGACCTTGGGTTCCAGCCGTCTTCTGCCGACCCGTCGCTGTTCGTTCGCCGTGGCTCCACACCGTTCTTTGTTCTGGTCTACGTCGACGACCTCGTTTTCGCCACTCCTGACACGGTTGCCTTGGCAGATGTGAAGTCCGAACTGCAGAAGAGACACACCTGCACTGACCTTGGTGAACTGCGCCACTACCTTGGCCTGCAGATCACCAGGGACAGAGCTGCTCGCACCATTACACTTTCACAGTCACACATGGTGCAGCAGGTCCTTCAGCGGTTCGGGCTTCAGCACTCCACAGTACAGCGCACACCTCTTGCTGTTGACCACAGACTCACTGGACCCTTTCCTGACGAGCCGTTTGAGCCTAGTGGTCCCTACGCAGAGCTGGTGGGCTGCCTCATATACCTGATGACTTGTACTCGCCCGGACCTCGCCTTCCCTCTCAGCGTCCTTGCGCGCTTTGTTGCGCCAGGGAGACACCGTCCTGTTCACTGGACAGCAGCTGTGAGGGTGGCGAAGTACCTAGCAACGACATCAGGCGTGGGGCTAGTTCTTGGAGGGCAGCAGTCTGTCGTACTTACTGGTCACTGTGACTCTTCTTACGCTGACGACGCTGAGACTCACAGGTCTACTCAGGGGTACTGTTTCAGCCTGGGTTCTGGAGCTGTTTCTTGGCGGTCCACGCGCTCCTCTTCGGTCTCGACCTCTACAGCTGAGGCTGAGATCTACGCTGGTGCCATGGCGGCACAGGAGTTGCGTTGGTTGACGTTCTTGCTTGCCGACCTTGGTGAGCGGCCGAGCTCTGCACCGACCTTGTTCACTGACAACAAGGCGTTGATTCTCCTTTGTCGAGAGCCGCGACTGGAGAGCAGAGTGAAGCACATTCACGTCAGGTACTTTCTTCTGCGAGAGTTGCAGAGACGTGGACAGGCTCGCTTCGAGTTTGTGGAGTCCGAGGCCAACACTGCAGACATCTTCACCAAGGCGCTTCCGCCTTGTGACCACCAGAGGTGCTGTGTGCAGTTAGGCCTTGTTGACACTGGTTCTCGTCTTGTGTAGACTTGAGTTGACTGTTTGTCTTGCTTGTACATTTGCTGTATATCTTGTGAGTTCTTGGACTGGCCTTGTGGCCACTGGTGTTTGTGCTCAGAGTGTGTGGTGACGTTGTGATCCACCCTGAGCTTTGTTTCTTGGACTGGTCTTGTGACCGTACTCTTTTGGTTCTGCTAGACACCCCTCACTTAGGCTATGGGGGTGTGTCAAATGTTGTAGCCTATAGTGAGGATTGTCTTAGGGGGTACAAAACTTAGGGTTAGCTATATGTACCTCAACCAACATCAATGCATCATCCATTCCTCATTCTGACAATACATGCATGGTTGTTCTTGCTAGGTAGTGATCACTGTACTGTCTTTGTCGCATATATATCTCTGCATGCGAACTGGCCTTGTGGCCCTTTACTTGTGCTCAGAGTGTGTGGTGACGTTGTGATCCACCCTGAGCTTGCTTTGCTTCTCTTGACTGGTCTTGTGACCCCTTGTTCTCCCCCACTTTGCCTATAGGGGTGTGTCAAACTATATTTGTATGTTGGCTTTGTCTAGGCTGTAGTGGGGTAGCACTAGGGGGTACAAAATTTCTCTTGACATTCTTTCTTGTACCCCCCCCTTGACCCAATCGAACCATTCCTTCCTAGCCTAAGTTCTAAGAGGTACCACTTAAATGTCTCCCGAGTAATGAGGGAAAGTCCATACGGTACAATACTCTATCCAGTGTATTCTAATCCATATATTGTAAAACACGTGAAACCATAACTATTCAGAAAATAAATCACGATATGTGTTTGGTACACAATCGGGCAATGTGCTCTTGCTACTTGTGTGCACTTGAATAATGCCGAGCTGACCCTGTCTCTAGTCTAAGCTTTTATTGTACCGTAACTCCTAAGTTGGAGGCACGCCCCAAAGCTCAACAACACCCAATGGACTGGGTGCTTATGCTAAAAATACATACAGCCCCATTGAATGCACTCATTAGACATCTTAACACTGTTCTCCACCAAACAAGTAGCTTCTGCAAGGCAACCTCTGCAGCACATCCATTAAGTTGCTGAGTTACAAACCAAGTACAGTAGACGCATGGAATGCTGCTGAGGTGAGAATAACCATCCATGCTATGCGGAGGATAACCATCCATGCTATGCTGAGGATAACCATCCATGCTATGCTCATACCGGAACACTTTTGCGGCAGCTCAGAAGGCCGAACAAGAGCTTTGAACCATCGTAGCATGAAGAGCAATGGTGGCGAGCCTATGTGAGAATGGAGCGCGAGTGGAATGGTGAGTGGGTGTGGGTGTGGGTGTGCGCGGGAGCTGCTGGCTGTGTGAACGAGGTGGCGTTGCTGGGCGGGCCTGAGTCCAGCAGGTGCAGCACCTGATGATGGTTGGCAAAAGGGGGGGGGGGAGGGTGGGGGGGGTTGGATGGGGGTTTACAGAACGGTAGGTTGTGTGAGGGCGTTTGTATGTGTGGCCCAAGTGGTGGCGTTGCTGGGCGGGCATGAGTCCAGCAGGCGCAGCACCTGATGATGGTTGGCAGGGGGATAATGGTTGGCAGGGATAATGGTCGGCAGGGGGATAATGGTCGGCAGGGGGATAATGGTTGGCAGGGATAATGGTTGGCAGGGATAATGGTTGGCAGGGGGATAATGGTTGGCAGGGGGATAATGGTTGGCAGGGGGATAATGGTTGGCAGGGGGATAATGGTTGGCAGGGATAATGGTCGGCAGGGGGATAATGGTTGGCAGGGATAATGGTTGGCAGGGATAATGGTTGGCAGGGGGATAATGGTTGGCAGGGATAATGGTCGGCAGGGGGATAATGGTCGGCAGGGATAATGGTCGGCAGGGATAATGGTCGGCAGGGATAATGGTTGGCAGGGATAATGGTTGGCAGGGATAAGGGTTGGCAGGGATAAGGGTTGGCCGCAGAAAAGGTTGTGTGGCAGCAGTTGGAGGGAAGGTTGTGGAGGGTGCAATGAGAGAACGGGGCATGCAGGGTGCGAGTGAGAGAGAGGAGAGGTAGGAAGGGAAGAGAGGAGAGAAGGATGAGAGCAGGGGAAGGAAGAAATGCAGGAGCAGGAGAGCAGGGGAAGGAAGAAATGCAGGAGCAGGAGAGCAGGGGAAGGAAGAAATGCAGGAGCAGGAGAGCAGGGGAAGGAAGAAATGCAGGAGCAGGAGAGCAGGGGAAGGAAGAAATGCAGGAGCAGGAGAGCAGGGGAAGGAAGAAATGCAGGAGCAGGAGAGCAGGGGAAGGAAGAAATGCAGGAGCAGGAGAGCAGGGGAAGGAAGAAATGCAGGAGCAGGAGAGCAGGGGAAGGAAGAAATGCAGGAGCAGGAGAGCAGGGGAAGGAAGAAATGCAGGAGCAGGAGAGCAGGGGAAGGAAGAAATGCAGGAGCAGGAGAGCAGGGGAAGGAAGAAATGCAGGAGCAGGAGAGCAGGGGAAGGAAGAAATGCAGGAGCAGGAGAGCAGGGGAAAGGAAGAAATGCAGGAGCAGGAGAGCAGGGGAAGGAAGAAATGCAGGAGCAGGAGAGCAGGGGAAGGAAGAAATGCAGGAGCAGGAGAGCAGGGGAAGGAAGAAATGCAGGAGCAGGAGAGCAGGGGAAGGAAGAAATGCAGGAGCAGGAGAGCAGGGGAAGGAAGAAATGCAGGAGCAGGAGAGCAGGGGAAGGAAGAAATGCAGGAGCAGGAGAGCAGGGGAAGGAAGAAATGCAGGAGCAGGAGAGCAGGGGAAGGAAGAAATGCAGGAGCAGGAGAGCAGGGGAAGGAAGAAATGCAGGAGCAGGAGAGCAGGGGAAGGAAGAAATGCAGGAGCAGGAGAGCAGGGGAAGGAAGAAATGCAGGAGCAGGAGAGCAGGGGAAGGAAGAAATGCAGGAGCAGGAGAGCAGGGGAAGGAAGAAATGCAGGAGCAGGAGAGCAGGGGAAGGAAGAAATGCAGGAGCAGGAGAGCAGGGGAAGGAAGAAATGCAGGAGCAGAGATCAATTCGAATGGGAGAGCAGGAGGTTGAACCCCTTGATCCAAATCACTGGAGGGAGCAGGAGAGGGAAAGAGAGTATGAGATAGTTCCATGTGCAAAGAAACACCGATAGTACCTGCAGCATGGAGGGTCGCAGCAAGGGGTCCTTGTGCGTGCAGAGCAGCGCCGTGCGGGCGAGCAGCGCGAACTGGTGCGGGTGGTACCTGCCCTGCAGGGCGGGGTCCGCCATTTGGTGCAGCCTTCCCGCCTCAATGAGTGGCCGTGCCTGGCAGGGAGGGCGGGGAGGGGCGGAGCAATGGTGGGAACAGAAGAGTGAGCAGCGCGAACTGGTGCAGGTGGTACCTGCCCTGCAGGGCGGGGTCCACCACTTGGTGCAGCCTTCCCGCCTCAATGAGTGGCCGTGCCTGGCAGGGAGGGCGGGGAGGGGCGGAGCAATGGAGGGAAGGGAAGAGTGAGCAGCGTGAACTGGTGCGGGTGGTATCTGCCCTGCAGGGCGGGGTCCACCACGTCGTGCAGCCTACCTGCCTCTATGAGCGGCTGTGCCTGTAGGCAGACAGGTGGGGGGACGGGACGTGGGGAGAGAGGCGGGAGGGGAGGAGATGAGATAAGTAGGAGGGAGCAATGTTGGGAGAGTGAGAATGAGTGGGGAAGGAGGAGTGGTAGGGAGAGGAGAGGCACAAGCAACGAATGAGATGAGGTATGTGGCCAGGTGAGGTGGGGTGATGTGAGGTGATGCGAAGCAGGAAGAGTGGAGAGGAGTCGGGGTATGGTATGGCTGCGTTGCTCCATGGACCATGAACGATCTCTCCATGGCAGGCCTTTGCCTCCGAATCACACTTCCATCAAGCTACCATCCCATCCCATCCCGACCCATCCCACCCCACCGCACTCCAACCACGCTCACCCATTGCACGAGCCACTGAAGCCCATGTGAGCGGCTATTGTCGACAGGGGGCTGGGCGGAGAGCAGCTCTAGCAGCACCACTGCGCACCGCACCCCACCCACACTTACCCATTGCACTAAGCACTGCATCCCTCGGGGCCGGGAGTCGTCCACAGGGGGCTGCCCTGAGAGCAGCTCCAGCAGCACCACTCCGAACGCAAACACGTCTGTGCGCGTGCTCACTGCGCCGTGGGAAAGGTACTCCGGTGCCAGGTAGCTGGGGAGGGAAAGGGCGAGGTGGCGGGGTGGAGAGGAGGGGAGGTTGGAGGGGGCTGCCCTGAGAGCAGCACCACTCCGAGCGCAAACACGTCTGTTCGCGTGCTCATAATCACCACAAGCACAGGCGCTACAAGCAGAGTCGCATGGTGAGACAGGTACTCTGGTGCCAGGTAGCTGTTGTGGGCAAGGGCGGGGTGGAGGGGAGGGGAGGGGAGGGGAGGGGAGGGGAGGGGAGGGGAGGGGAGGGGAGGGGAGGGGAGGGGAGGGGAGGGGAGGGGAGGGGAGGGGAGGGGAGGGTGGAAGGGAGGGGAGGATGGAAGGGAGGGGAGGAGAGGAGGGGTGGAGGGGAGGGGTGAGGAATGATCAGACGGAGACTCTGAAGCAGTTAATAGGAGGTTACAGCACAGCAGATGAGAGGCCGCCCACGAGCACAGGGACTGGAGGACACGGCAGAAGCAGTCACAATCATATTCAACACAATCACAGCCGCTACAAGCACAAGCTTATGCTGCCCCCCACATGATCATCCCCCATTTAAAACACGACGCTTGCACACACTCATCCAATCGCTTCCACCACACCGCACTCACCCAAAGGTGCCGGCGAGGGGCACTTGCATGGGCGCATCTTTGGGGGCGGCAAAAAGAGCCAACCCGAATTCCGATAGCTGGCGGGGCAAGAGGTGCGTGGGTTGAGGAGAGAGGGGCGAGGGGCGCAGGGGAAAGGGATGGGGAGAGGATGGTGAGGCGCGAAGGAGTGAGGTGCGTTTGGAAGAGGAGCGGAGCAAAGGGAGCCAAAGAGGACCCTAGGAGCTAGTGGAGTGGAGTGTGATGGCCAGCGCTGGCACGACACGAGAGGACAGTTGAAAGGGTGGGCGAATGACAGGTGGAAGAAACGAGCAAGGGAAGGTGGCGTGTTGCTGATTTTGACGGAAACAGGAGAAATGAAGGAAGCAACTCACTTTCACCTCGCCGCCCCTCGTTAGCATCACACTCGCCGCCCGCACGTTGCGATGCACCACTGCTCTGGGCGCCCCCTCGTGCAGGTAGTGCAGCGCGAGTGCCAGCTGGCGCGCTACCATTGGCCGCATGGACCAGGTGAGAGGGCCTGAGTTGCGGGGAAGGGGGTTGATTGGAGGAAGAAGGAGAGAGAGGGGAAGAGGAGCAGGCGGTGGGGAAGGGAGGAGGAGAGTGGAGTCAGCAGGGTTGTATTGTATTGTGTCGTGTACGGATTAACTGGCGCTACCAACACAATGAGGCAGAAGGAATAAGAGGGCAAGGCACAACAAGGAGAGGAGAAGAGCTTATCCACGGGAGGAGAAGAGCTTATCCATGGGAGGAGAAGAGCTTATCCATGGGAGGAGAAGAGCTTATCCATGGGAGCATAAGCTCAGCAGCAACAGTACTTACCAGGGTTGCCAGCAGCAGTACTTACCAGGGTTGCCAGCAGCAGTACTTACCAGGGTTGCCAGCAGCAGGAGCCCCGGAGTCCCCCCTGAGAGCAGACTCGAGGCTGCCCCCGTCCATGTGCTCAAACACCAACGCCACCTCTTCTCTACTCTCCGCACACACCCCCACCAGCTGTGCCACGTGGCGGTGACTCAGCGTCGCCAGAACCGCCAGCTCAGCCGCCACCTCGCTGCTCAGCCCGCGTTCAGCAGCCAACGGCATGCCGTCACGTGGGCTTCCCCCTTGCCTCGCACCATAAGCAGCAATAACCCCACCAGCACCACCACAACCACCATGAGCAGCATGAGCAGCATGAGCAGTGGAGGCGCAGGTAATCATCTCGCGCCTCACAGCTATCTGCTGCCCGCCGGGCAGCCGCCCCTGATACACCCGGCTGTAGCCCCCGCACGTTCTCAGAAGGTTTCCTGTGCGTATGGTTGATGGAAAGAAGAGGGCGGGTGGATAGTGAGAAACCTGTGCGGGTGGTGCTACTGTGAGGGTGCAAGCTTGACAGAGGTGCATACCCTCCTTGTGCATACCCTCCTTGTGCATACCCTCCTTGTGCATACCCTCCTTGTGCATATGTGACCCTCCGTGAATACGCCACTCACATATGAGAGTGGATTCAAGAGCGCCCCACGCGCGTGCGCGCATGCACACACACACACACCCGCATGCAACATCACCATCACCGCATGACACTCCCCCACCCCACCCCTCCTCCACACTCACGTGTGGCAAACCCATCAGTTGCCTGCTCCACCTCGCGCCACTGCAGCTTCCTCCACGGCCCCTCCCACACCCCTGCCGCCCCCATCCCTCCTATGCCCGCCACCTCATCCCCTGCCTGCCCTCGCCCACCACCCACTGCTTGGACTGCCGCTGCCCCTGCAGCTGCATGCCCAGCGCCGTGAGTGAAGGAGAAGCTCCGCCTCACACCAGGGGACGGCGAGGCCACGGGAACACGTGCAGCACCGCCGGTGCCGCCACTGCTACTCGTGCCCAGTCTTGCATCAGCCCAACCTACCCCTCCCTGCACCGCCGCTTCCCCTCCCATCGCTGCCCTCTGCGGCATCACAGGGATTGCAGTCACGCCCCTCCTGCCGTCCCTGCGTGCCTCCTCTCCCCCATCGGAGAAGTAGCGCCTGGAGGGCACCAGCGAGCTGCAGCTGCGGCTGAGAGGCAGTGACTGCTGTCGCACACACGGGAGTAGGTCCGCACCTCCCTCTGCACCGCTCTCCACCTCCCTGCCGCCCTCTCCTTCCCTGCTGCCTTGTGCCTCCCTCCCTCTTTCGCCCTCTTTGCTGCTCGTCTCCTGTGCTCTCCCCTCACTCCTAGCCTCGCTACTCCTCCTCTCACTCACTCCCTCTCCCGCGTCTCCCTCCCTTCCATCATTCCTCTCACTTCCCTCCTCATCTTCCCCTTCCACACTCAACTCTTCTGCACTCTCCGCTGCATCCTCCCTCTCCCTGCCCTTCTCCCCCACTGCTGTTGCTCGCACCACAAAACCCCACTCCCTGTCCCTCGCACTCTCACCACCCTCCCTCTCACTTCCACCATCAGCTAACAAACACACAGCAGGCGCACACATACCCCTCTCACTCCCAATCCCACTCCCTTCGCTCCTCACTCTCCCCAAATCCCTCTCCCTATCCCTCGCACTCTCACTCTCAGACTCCATTCTCCTCACTCTTTGTGGGTCCCTTGTCTTATTCAGCACCGAGAGTCGCCGCCCCGACCCGCCACTCCACCCGCCCACACTGCCGCCCATCGTGCCGCCCACGCCCGCCCTCTGCCTCGGCCTGTGCACGGGGAACCGGCCAACCAGAACAGGACACCTGGCATCCTCCTTCCCCTCCCCTGCCTCCTCCCTCTCCTGCGCCACAACCCCCCCCACCACGCCATGCCCCTTCCCATCCTGCCTCTTCCTTTCTTGATCTTGATTCTCCTGGCCCTTGTTCCCTGCTCCTCTCGCCTCCTCTCCTACCACTCCACCTGCGCCCTGCATCTGGTTACCACAAAGAGGCTCCAAGGCTGACCTGCGCCCACCCAGCCCCTCCCTCCCTCGTGACATTGATTCTCTGACTCCTGCTATTCCTGACATTTCAGGTGCTGCTTCAGGTGATTTTTCAGGTACTGCTGGCTTAGCGGAAGGTGCTCTGGGAATGAGAGCTGAATCTGAGAGATAGCCGGTGCTTCTGCCCTTTCTGCTGCTGTCGTGGTTGATGGGGTGGGATTGCTGTGACACGTGGCAGGCTGGGGTTGAGAGGGAGCCGCTGCTGGGGATGTCCGTCCAATGGGACGACGCCCCTGATCGAGACGAGAACGCGGAGGATGACGTGGCAGCTGACGTGGCAGAGATGTCAGAGCAGAACGACTCGAGGACAGGCTGGGCGGCATCTGACGCGTCCATAGAGGGGAAGCTACAGTGGTGCACTGTACCCTGTATCGCATCATCCAACCCATCCGCGTTATTGGCATCCCCACGTTCGGAAGAATCGTCAGACGAGGAGGAAGAGGAGGATGCAGTTTCCACGTCACAGCGGTTGGCCCAGTCAACGCAGTCAACGCTTTCAGCATGGGCAGTGCGGCCAGCAGTGGTAGCATCAGGAGCAGCGCTAGCGATGTTGGCTCTCAGCATCGCTTCCTCCTGTTGCCCTTGACCCACGTAGAAACTCACCTTCCCTTCCCCTCCTCGCACCCCTCTCTCACCCTGCTCCATCTGCTGCTGCTGCTGCTGCTGCTCCTAGCCTCACCAGTCGCGCAGTCAGCTCGCTCTGCGCACTCTGCTGCCCCTCCCCTTGCTGGGCCACCTCTCGTCCCCTGCGCACCTGCTCGCGCGCCTTCCGCTCCTCCTCCTCCTCCGCCGCCTCCGCCTCGTGCTCCCACCCCAGCTGCTGCGCCAGGGTCGCTGCCACGGCGCTCCCATGCAGGGTCGCGGCTACCGCGCTCCCGCCCGCAAACGACGCGGACCGTTGCACGCGCATGTGCCTGGGTGTCACTGCGGCCGACTGTGACTCAAACGAGCGTGACCCGTCCCCCATCTGTCCCTGCTGCCCCTGCTGCTGTCCCTGCAGCTGCAGCTGTTGTTTGCCTGTGATGGACGATCGCAGCAGCTGCCATTTCGGCATGTGCTCCGCGGTTCTGCTCCCCCCTTGATCCTGCTGCTGCCTCTGCTGTTGCCGCTGCTGCCCCCCGCCTTGCTGCTGCCCCTGCTGCTGCCTCTGCTGCCCCTGCTGTCGCTGCCCCAACCTGCCGTCGGTAGCAGCAGCGCGGGACGGCGGGTCGAAGGAGGGGGGGAAGAAGGGGTTCGTGGAGGTGGCGCGGGGGGAGATGAAGGGGGAGGACTGCGGGTTGCCGGCGCTGGCGCGCGGGGAGGAGAGGCGGGATGAGCGCGGGGAGGAGGGGAAGAACGGGTTGAAAGCGGAGGAGCGCGGGGAAGACGGGCGGGAGGCGCGGGGGGAGGAGGGGCGGGAGGCGGAGAAGGAGGAGGAGAAGAAGGAGGCGTGGGGGGAGGAAGCGCGTGGGGAGCTGCAGACGCTGCGCGCCTTGCCTGGCGCGAATGGCCTGCGGGGGACTGGTAAGGGGGAGATGCGGGGAAGCGGAGAAGAGCGATGAGGAGAGCGATTAAGGAATGGAAGAGGCAAACGCGAGAGGGTGGTTCAGAAGAAGGGGGACGTGGGAAGATGAACGAGGAGAGAGAAAGTGAGAACAACAGGAGGGTGCGGCAGTAGACGAGCAAGCGGTGTGACAGTAGGAGAGAGCAGGAGAGGGAGAGAGAGGGTGGAATAACAAGGCAGGACAGCTAGGGGGGAACGAAGAAGCGAGAGTGCTTACAGGAAACATCCTCCTGCAGCAGCGAGAGTGCGCGCGCGCTGAGCAATGGACGGCTTGGGGGGATGCGCGAAGGGAGTGGAAGAGGGAGCAGCACAGGACAGCTTGCGAGAGAGAGGCGGGGACGCGAGCACTCACAGGAGACGTCGCCCTGCAGCAGCGAGAGCGCGCGCTGGGCGATGGACGGCTTGGGGGTGTGCGCGGCCGGGTGCTGGCGCAGGCTCGTGAGCGAGCTCGACCGCGGCAGCTGCGCCAACCTGCGCGCTCCCCCATTCCCCCCTGGCGCTGCTGCCCCTGCTGCTTGTTCCTGCGGGCCGCTCATGCTCATGCTCCCAGCGCTGCCCCCTGTGGCGTGGTGGTACGAGAGGGGTCCGCTGCGGCTGATGCCGCTACCCATCACGGGGTGCGCCTGTCCATGCCTCATGCCCATGCTCCCACCCATGCCACTGCGTGTGGTGGGGTATGGCGACGTTCCTGCACCGCTCATGCTTCTGCTGCTGCTATTGCCGCCGTGGTATGGGTTGGAGGAGCGAGCACAAGACGAGGAGGTAGCGCCTGCAGCCTGCACCTCCCTCTCCCTTTCCTGCTCTCTCTCCCTCTCCCTCACGTTCTCCCTTGCGCCGACCTTCGTCTTCTCACCGGCACCGCCCTTGGCAGCGCCGCCCTCGTCCCTGTACCCGTCGCGGTCCTTGCTGCTACCGAAGAGGCGCATAAGGGGGATGTAGAGCGGGCGGTGGCCGTTTGGGGTGGCGTCAGCTGGTGCTGCGATGGCGGTGAATCGGCACGGGATAGTGATGGGATAGTGATGGGATAGTGATGGGATAGTGATGGGATTAGGACAACGGGAGAGGGGGAGGGGAGGGGATACCGAACAAGTGAAATTGGTGAGGATGAGAGGGAGCGACAGAGAGGTAGACGTTGGAACGTGGGCACGAGGAGCGAGACGGCGAGGAAACAAGGAAGAAAAGAACAAGAGAGATTTTTGACAGTCAACAAAATCCACCCGCTCTTCTCCTCTCACTCATTTCTTCCCCGTAAATTCACTTCCCCACAGCCCCTCCTCCCCGCTAGTCCGAATTGCCGCCCTTCCCACTTGCACGAGGCAGCTCCATAGACAGTGACACCCGCTGCCGCCCACACCAGACTGCCAGTACCATGCCGACAGCGCGCTCACCTGCTGCTCTGTTCCCCGCGCTCTTGCCCTCCGCTGTGCCCGCCGCCGCGCCCACTCCGCCCTTCCCGCGCTTGGCGAGCGCCAGGCGCCCCCCGCCGACGAAGAGCACCATGCAAGCGGGCGGAAGGCGCTGCTCCAGCGCGCGCGGAGAGAAGCGCCGCCCCATGCTGCGGAGACCGCGGGTAGATGGCGGAAAGCGGAGCGCAAGCGCGCGCACGGTAAGGAACGTAGTGAATGGTGGGCGGATGGGAGGGGGAGACAGGGGAGTGGGGGGGGCGGCCGTTAGTGGAGCGGCGAGGGGCGAAGCGGCGAGACAGGCAGTGGTCTGCTCCAGGCGTAAGTAGTGCGAAACTAGTGGTCGTGGTGACAGAGAGCAGTACAGCAACGGCTCAAAACAACTGAGCTCTCGAGTGAGGAAGAGGTCGCACTTGTGCTGCAACCCAATGGTCCTCCCAACCGTGCTTCCCTCTCCGCCTGGACCTCTCCCCTTTCTTCCTTTCCTCTCGCACCCCGAGCTCACCCGTCCTTGTGCACGACTCACCCGTCCTTGTGCACGACTCACCCGTCCTTGTGCACGACTCACCCGTCCTTGTGCACGACTCACCCATCCTTGTGCACGACTCACCCGTCCTTGTGCACGACTCACCCATCCTTGTGCACGACTCACCCGTCCTTGTGCACGACTCACCCATCCTTGTGCACGACTCACCCGTCCTTGTGCACGACTCACCCATCCTTGTGCACGACTCACCCGTCCTTGTGCACGACTCACCCGTCCTTGTGCACGACTCACCCGTCCTTGAGCACGACTCACCCATCCTTGTGCACGACTCACCCGTCCTTGTGCACGACTCACCCATCCTTGTGCACGACTCACCCGTCCTTGTGCACGACTCACCCATCCTTGTGCACGACTCACCCGTCCTTGTGCACGACTCACCCATCCTTGTGCACGACTCACCCGTCCTTGTGCACGACTCACCCGTCCTTGTGCACGACTCACCCGTCCTTGTGCACGACGACCCGCGTGGCGCCCAGCAGCCTCGCCTCGTCCGTCACCGCCTGCTCCTCGCACGCGCCGTGCACCACGCGCACCGACGCCGCCACCTGATCGGCGGAGGTTGAGGGGAAGGGGGAAGAGAGGGTAGAAAGGGGGGCATAGTATCACCTGCTGCTCCCACGCGCCGTGCACTGATGCCGCTCATTTTTTGCAGTGTATCGTCAGGAAACGCTATAACGCGTACGCACCTTCTTCTCGTCGCAGAGCGCCTCGAAGCCCCACAGCAGCGCGGAGAAGATCTCCAGCTTCCGCCGCTGGTCCTCGCGCATCTCCTCCAGCCGCGGCGGGCGCGCGCCTGGCGAATTGCGCCGTGAGGGAGGCGGGGACGGGGGACAGGGGAAGCGGACACGCGAGGTAAATGCGGAGCGGAAATGAGATGCGGAGAGACGGCTGGCACGTGATGAATTTCCGCCCAAGTAAGAGCGGTGCGCGCAGATTGCACGGCCTGTCAACAACTTGCAGGTGAGGCGCAAGGGCGTGCAAGCGACGACTCCGAAATGAGATGGAAGAGAGACGAGAGTGGATGTGCTGTCAGGTAGTAGCGCGTACCATCGGTGGAACATTTGAGTCGACTCAAAAGACAACGCGACTCCGAAATCAGAGGGAAGAGAGACGGGAGAGGATGTGGTGTCAGGTAATAGCGCGTACCATCGGTGGGCGGCACGATGACGTGGAGGACGTAGATGACGTCACCCGGCTGGCATCGGCTGATTGTCCATTGGATGAGCCCTCTGCCTTCCTCTGATAGTGTCACGGCCACCACTATGTGGTCCGGCTGCCGCTCGATACAGTCACCCTGTAGCATCGTCCCTGATTAATGTCACAACACTGACAATTATCAAATCCCCACACTAGGACCTTCGCCAGCGGCGAGCGTGCGTCTCGCCGATGAGTGTGTCAGAGCTTGCTGGAATGGCAAATGGGCAGATCTGCGACTTCTAAACTAGCCGTTCATCGCGTCTCTCTATATCGCATCCTACTTCTGGTGCGTCAGCTAGGCCTCAGCTCACACGCTGTTGCGATCGACACCACAGCGCCTATTCGACCGCAATGGTTGGGTATTAGTGTGTTGAAGCGTTTCGAAACCCTTCAGCTCGTCATCGGGCCGCGACGGTCCAAGCCATTTGGGAATTACGACTAATCTCTTTCAGTGCCGCTTGCTCGAAGCTGCTGAAGATTGGGGCGTGATATTGCCGTCAATGCGACTAGTAGTCGAGATGTGCGCCTTCTACTCGACCCATCAGCAGTGCCTGATCCGGTTTTTACACATTTATGGTTTCGCAAGAGCTTGCGTTCGTTAGAGCCGTACGGGAAGGCGTCACACTCTCGCTCTGTCCCTCTGTGGTTACTCGGGACAGACGGGTTGCATGTGACTCTTTCAGGTATAGGCGGGTTCCAAAAGAGAGAGACGAGAGTGTTGGGCGGGGAAAAGGGGAAGGACGAGCGTTGCAGGCGGGAAATGTAGAGAGAAGAACGGAACGCGAGGGAATCGCACAGCAATACTAGCATCCCCTATGAGGGGCGCCTGGGGCTAGGTAATTGCCACGAGAGTTCGTAAAATACATATGATTCACTCGCGTCGTCGCTGTGTCTGCAGCTGTGTCGGTGACTGCAGTCTGCGCTGCGCAAAGGCTTGGGGAGAGCGCTGAGAACAACGGCAGATAAGGGACAGGAAGGCTTGCATATGGTTGACATGGCAGCAGCTGGTCAGACAGAATGTGTCGCGGATTCCATTCTCGCCATGGGATTTACGGATTTCATCGGCGGGCTTCCCAGAAACTCTCCTCCCCGCCTGCTCCATCCCCACTCCTGCAACACCCTTTCCTCCGCCTGAAATATGCTTAGTTACGGTGAGTGGGTGGATCAGGGCTCCCCCTTTCCCCCCTCTAGGATCTGGATTCCAGAAGTCTGATTTCCTTACGAGGCGCGTTATAGACTGTGGCATTGGGGGGGCGAACTGTGCGCAGCGGGCTTTGAGCTTGTCGCAGGGGTTCTTGGCCAATCAGCGAGGTTGGGCTGGGCGTCACACGCGTCGTGGCGGGGTCGAGCCAGTCTCCCGACCCCTTCGCATACGGCGGGGATGTCACTCAGCTGCGTCGCACGCTGATCGGATTGACCTGGGTCAGACAGCGCGGCGCCACCATCGGGCCGAGATGGACTGGCTCAGATGAACATGGCTGTTCTGGCAAGTCTGAGTCTGACAGGGCACAAGCAGCAAAACAACTAAACGCCTCCATAAACCGCTTTAATAGTGGACACGTAGCATACAATTAATCCATTTTCGTATACAGAATCTGGATAAAACAATTAGGCCACATCATAGACCATATCCTGAAATAAATGCAGCTTTTTTGGTTGCGTAGCAACCCTATATAATCGGTTTCAATTTTTGGGGATATCATTCAGGAGTTTTTTTTTTCAAATCATTTTTGGAGCACACATTTTAAGCGAATGCATAATAATAATAATAATAATAATAATAATAATAATAATAATAATAATAATAATAATAATAATAATAATAATAATAATAATAATAATAATAATAATAATAATACTGTTACGAATAGTACAATTTTATTGTTACTGAGCACTCCTCACCGCAGCAAAGAGAAGCACGCAGTATCGAAGCAAGAACGCGAATCGTCAGACGGTTGAAGATTGACTCGAAGCATCAGACGGTTGGGGCGCATCTGGACAGTCGGAACAGACGGCATCGGGCAGCTACAGGCAGGATGGTTTCGGCGGGAACAGTTTCGTAACTGTACGCGCCGCACGGTTGGGAATGTATTTGAATAAGGGAATGTACCCCTTAGAGTACATGGCTAGCTAGGTCGTTTCGTATTCCCCTGTACTCTTATTTATATCGTTGTATTTGCATGTTTTTATTATCTCAAGCATTTTACATTCACTCTGCTATTGAGATCAAGGGCCCACCAACTATCTACCCACGTGCGAACCTTCCCGAGTAGATCCTGGTAAGCGATCATTCTCTGATCGTAGCATGGTATGAGAGCGGCTCGGGAATCCTTCGCAACACCACTCCCGAAAATTGCGACATTCGGAAAGTGGCGACCGGCACACGCTCGCGTGTGAGAATGGCCGGAGGATCTGGTGGTCAGACTAATCTGACGGCTGAAGCGCGCACCAATCTGGCTACGACAAGCGAGGAAACGACTACGATCGGCACCGAAGTCCTCGCACAACTTCTTCAGCGACTCACCAGCCTGGAGCAGGGACTCCCAACATTGCGGAACAGCGATGCGGGAACATCCTCGCAACCATCTCAACCGGCCCCAACTGGGCAGAACGCCGTCCCGCAAACCTTCTCCCTCGACACAAATGGCTCAACCCCCAAAGCTCCCCGTCCCAGTGAGGAGGCAATCCTCTCAGCACAATCAAAGTTTCTCAGCATATAAAAAATAAAGACAAGTACCTGCTTCGACGGCAGAGATTTCTATACCTGGAGCTTCGAATTGGAGCTCCTGCTGCAGAACGCCCAAATCTATCACTATTTCGACGGGAGCTACGCGGAACCCGCTGAGGACACCGACGACGCCAGGACTCGCTACTACAACGAGTCCCTGATGGCGTACGGGATTCTCCTGCGCAATATGTCGCCGGCGGAGCAGCTGAACATCCGTTCGTACAAGACATCGGCTGCTCCAGCCCTCGACGCCTGGCGCCACCTGAACGGCGTGTACCAGCCGAAAGACTCCGTCTCTTCGAGCCGACTGCTTCAGCAGCTACTGGAGACCAAGATGTCCCTAGGGGAGAAGGTCAACAGCTACATCAATCGCTGTCGGAGCCTTCGCGATCAAATCGTGAAGCTAGGGAGTTCGATTTCCGAAGAAATCTTCGTGAACATCGTGCTTCAAGGGCTCGGCCCAGAGTGGCGGCCCTGCAAGGCGCTTCTCCGACAGCAGGGGGTCATCTCGGAGGCCGCCCTCTGCGCCGCCCTTCTCGTCGAACAAAGGGATATGGACCAGCAGCGACCAGCGCCGCGACGAGAAAGAGAACGGATCGCCTTCTACGCCGACAACAACGAAGAGCGACGTCCGAGGCGCCTCTACTGCAAAATTTGCAGGACTTTCGGGCACCTGGCGGATCGATGCAAATACCGATCTCGCCCTCGCCAGACCAATCCGAGCACCTGGTCCGGCCGACAAGACGCACGAGGCGACGTGCGTCCAGCCCAAGGGTATCAACCCCAACCCGCGCGCAACCTGAACCCCGCGGTTCAGCATCAGCAGCAGCAGCCGCCACCGACTGCCACAGTACGCAATGTCATGAGCAACATGGCCATGACAGGCGAGTCACGTCGTTGCCGCGCGCGCTCACCATCACCTGAGCCAGCACCGCATCCCATTGGCGCGTTCTCTAACAACAACCCATTCAGTCCGCGCCACGACTTCACCGACGACGACGACCAGGACTGGAATCTCCCAGTCCCGCTGCTTGAAAGTCCCCCGCACGTACCTGACATGCGGGTGGCGCCACTTGATTGGCTCTCGCGCGAGCAATTCCTGAAGTTCGACACTCCGCACATCGTCACGCCGCGACTGGCGCTGCTCGCCCGTGACGACAACAAGCGCCACAACACCTGGTACCTGGACAGCTGCTGCGGCCAGCATATGGTAGGCTCCGAGCGTTACATATCCAACGCCGTCGCCACCCCCACAGTCACTTACGTCACAGTGGCGAACAACACGCGCCTGCGCACAAGCGTGCAAGGCATCGTTGTGCTCAAAGCACGCGGAAGCCGCACGCATATCACGCTCAACGATGTGCTGATCGTCCAGAACCTGCGCTTCAACCTCCTGTCCGCCGCACAGCTCATGGATTGCGGCGTAGAACTCAGCACGGATCGCGCGACGCGCGACATTCTGCTGCACTACGAATCGCGCACCTTTTCCCGCAGGCAGATCGGACGAGCACACTCCGAAAATGGAGTGTACGTTTTGGATTTCGACATTCCCGACTGCAGCGGCGATTCGCACGAGTTAATCGACCTCGTGCCACTGCGCTTCGAGCACATCCACCGCAGGGACTGGAAACACCCTGACGGAAGACCGTGGGTGCCGCATCACCCTCACCCACGCGAAACGGCGCTGCACAACCCTGACCCAGACGGCATCTGCAGGGACTGCCACACGCCAACGACGTCAAGCAGCGCCATTGCCGGCCGTGGACTCGCCGCCATCGCGGAAGCAGAACGACATGCGCCGCCAGAAGTAGGGATGTCGCAACTCGAACTGGAAGTCACCACTCAGCACGTGTTCGGCACCGACCAATGCCCCCACGCTGGACCACCCTCTCAGCGCCTTGAAGGGATTCTGAGTGGACAACGCCGCGGAACCTTCGACACGCGCGGAGTGGCGCGGCCTTACACCCGCGAAGAGTTCCTGAAGATTTACCCCCAGTGGCGCGATCCCACGGCAACACTCACCGTGGAACAGGAGGAAGAACTGGCGCGCCGCGAAGCCGAGGAGCTTCGCCAACAGAGCCTCGCCGAGGCACGCGGAACGTTCGCTTGCGCCGCATGGGGCGCCGAAGCTGAAGAAAGCGCCACCAATGAAGGGGGGTGGGAAAACGTCGGCGGTTGGGGAATGGCTGAGGCTGGCGATTGGGGCAACACCGGCGGAACCTGG